TCTCTCTCTCTCTCTCTCTCTCTCTCTCTCTCTCTCTCTCTCTCTCTCTCTCTCTCTCTCTCTCTCTTCATCCGGTTAATATACCAATTAGAAAAGAGTATTGGGGTCAAAAGTGCCCGGTTAATATACCAATTAGAAAAGAGGATTGGGGTCAAAAGTGCCATGTAAAAGAAATTCCACGACACCCACTTCAGTTTCTTAAGAACAAGAGTGAACGAATTCCTCTGTTTGTAAAATTTTCTCTTTTTTTTTTTTTTTTTTTTTTTTTTTTTTTTTTTTTTGTGAATTCATGAAAAAGAAAAGAAAAGGATCGTATGAACGCCGAGGCATACTTCAATTTTTCTTTTCTAATAATTAAAAAATCTACTTGAGAAGTACTATGTTTTTATTCGTGTATGTTGATCCAAAAAGCTATAATTATTGAGCAAAGGTGCAACTACATCATATGATCAAATATCTGAGCTTGAAACTTAAAATATGAAGTAGGAAATGATTTTCTGTCTCCATTCCTGCCTAAGAAGAGAAGGGGTCGGAGTACGGAATTTTTCCCGTTGTGGGAGTCTTTTCTATATATTACCACCACAGTTTTTTGTCTAATTTATATAACAATGTATATTAAAATTAGAGCAATTTAAAGAAAATTGAAGAAAAAATTCAATAAAAATTTAAGCAAAAACCAAAGGTTAACAAAAGAAAAAGGCACAAAAGGACTGGTTATATTTAAAAGGTATAGATCATTTATTTGTATAATGTGCATATATTTATATGAATATTGGCCACAGAGAGTGTTTTCTGTGCTATTTTTTATGGATAAGATTTTGTTCTCATCGATCCCTGCTTTTTCGAGACATCAGATCTCTACACGTACTACCTACTCTAATGATCAAACAATAAATCCCTTATATATATAATTCAAAAGTTGTAACTATTTCCCCCTCAACAACCAAGTTGCTATAACGAAAATGTGATGTCACAAAAAAAAAAAAAAAATAGAAGAAGAATTTATATGATAATTCTCGAAAGATCTATCCTACTAATTACTTATATATGTGTGTGTGTGATCGTAATTTGTACTCTCTTATGTAGTACTGGTTTATCATCACCATTATAAAATAAGCATACTGAACCGGAAAAACCGAAAAATAGACCTCTAAGTCAAGGTTACTCCAAACAATTAGTTTCTTTTTTAAAAGTGGGTCTTTATTTACTAATTAATATATGATCTTGACGAAGACATTCCCCCACTTTCCTGATGATTAGCATGGATTCACATCAACCACGCTCTCCATCTTAGACTTGAAATTGTTTATTTGCAAAGACAGTTTATTTGTTTACATAAAAAAGTAAAAAAGAAAATGGAACATAATTAGTTATGAATGGCTTTTGCTTTTTCTAAAGAGTGATTCTATTTAATTCCGCAAGAGACCAGAAAGATTCTCACAAGTACCTATTTTTGTGGGACTCTTCTTTATGTCTCTGGTAGAGCTTGCTATGTGACGAGCCCCACTACAACTTTCAACAACTTTCTTTTTCTAAAAGCTACTTTAGATTTTAAGGGATATCCCATCAATATCTTCATTTCTTTTAGTGAAGTTAGTTTCCTATCAGAAGGTAATGGCAAATGATGGTCCAACAACAACTCAGGAATGATAGTGCAATCTTCTTGGGATAATTTCAAAAAACCAAGTAGGTACATCAATGAAAAATCTGAAGCCCAGATCAAATTAGCTAGTTGAGAGAATAAGCATAAAGATAAGGGGAAAAATGGAGGCACAATTTATGCACAGACCTATAGATTCAACTATATATATAGGCATATGAATATCCTGATGCACCAATCTATAGTTTAAATGAACTAATTCCAAAAGAGACAACATACAACTAACTCAATTTTAGATACAAATCTAACTCACACTTTCCTCTCTAATTTCAGGAGAAATCTGATTCACTCAAAATCTCAAACGGACACGATTAGCAAATAAATGCATACATGAAGGCGCTAGAACACTTCATTATCAGTTTCTCTCTTTTTTCCTCTCTTTCACCAAACCTGGCAGTGTGGTTTGTCTAGGACTGTCAACAACTTGTGCTCGTTGCCAAAAGAGACAACGTTACGTAACTCCTCTATTAAAAACTAACATATATTCCACACTTTTCTTCAGGAGAAAACTTATTCATGTCAACAACTTGTGCTCGTTGCCAAAAGAGACAACGTTACGTAACTCCTCGATTAAAAACTAACATATATTCCACAACTTTCTTCAGGAGAAAACTTATTCAACACTCAGCATCTAAGGTAACTAGTACACGTACGATTTTATCTTGAAAACACACACACAAGGACTACAAACACTTTTTCTTCTCTCAATTATTCTTGGGTTTTGGAAATAGAGGCGTCTGAGAATATTTGGCGGGTGCCACTTTCACTGTCCAGACTAGGAAAGCCCGATTCGGCGGTGTTGGACCCCACCGTGGTGGTAACACCGGCCCCACTTCGCAACCCCAGCACGTCGTATCCGAACCCACGGTTATCCACAACCAGATGGAACGACAGCTTCTCCGGATACGAACACAGCCCGTCGGGATTATTCCCCAGCTGCGTGGCGTCCGCTTGTTCTTGCAGCTCCAACACAAACTCCAAGTTCTCCATCACCTCATGCATCGTGGGCCGTTGACTCCAATAATCTCGGACGCACCTCTCCGCCACCTCCACGAACTTCTTGAAACACTCCGGCGCAATCTTGCCTATCAAGTACGGGTCTATGATGTTCTGAATCCTCCCTTCTTTTATGGACTTCCTTGCCCATTGGGCCAAGTTTCTTTGATCCTCTTCGAGTTTGATATCCACCGGTTTACGGGCACACAACACCTCGAAAAGAACCACACCGAAAGAGTACACGTCGGACTTGTCCGTCAGTTGCCGGCTCTGTGCGTATTCCGGGTCCATGTACCCAAAAGTGCCCTTCACCGCCGTACTAACAGCGCTGTCGCCGCGACCGAGTTTTGACAATCCAAAATCGGCAACTTTGGCCACCCACTTCTCGTCCAACAATATGTTTGTCGTCTTGACGTCGCGGCGGATGACGGCGTTTTTCACTTCTGAATGGAGGTAGTGCTCGAGTCGCTGTTTCCACGGGAGAGGGTCGTTGTCCGTGCCATAGAGATGGTCTCGAAGAGTCCCGTTGGCCATGTAGTCGTAGACGAGGATCATCTCATCGTCGTCGTCGCAGTAGCCTATTAGGGAGACCAAATGGACGTGGCGGAGCTGAGATAACATCGTAATCTCCGCTTCGAACTCGTTCTCTCCTTGGCGCGATAACCCCTTGTTCAGCCGCTTGATTGCAACAACTGTGGACGCTTCGTCGGCCAAATTACCTTTGTAGACGTAACCGAAACCTCCCCTGCCGATCACCAACGCTTGGTCAAAGTGGTTGGTCGCCATCTTGATCTCGGCGAGCGAGAAACAACGGCAAACCTGCTCAGGAAGCCTCCCGATGAAGTCTTCGTCGACCTGCTGGATCTTCTTTTGGACGAACCGTGGTAGCGTTTCTCCTTCCGTAGCCTCAAGAAAACTACACAGAACACCATAGACAGTAGAACAACAAAGCCAGCAACGCCACTCCCTAAGGCAATGGCCAATAGTGTTTTCTTCGACTTGGAATTTTCTGTGTTTGGATTCAGAGTTTGGTCGGATCCCTTAGAGTCCTGTAGTGGAGGGTTTGGTCCCGCGAGGTTACGATCAGAATCGCTCATCTTGAACACCTCTATGCCGTTTAAGATAACATCCTCGTAGGTAGAATCCTCAGCTCTAGTGTGCAGATCAACAAAGAGAAAAGCACCGTCCCAAATATTCACCACAAAGTCTCTATACATCGGGATCGCATTACCACCAGTCCAAACAATCACACTAAAAGCAGGATCTGCCGTGCGGTTGTCGAGATAGATTCGGAACATCCTATCCTCGGGCTTCTGGTATGTGTCTTCAAACTCGCAGAAATGGAGCCTAACCAGATAGTAGAATCTGGAGTCGACGGGCAACTTCCAGGTGATGTTGCGGAGGTTGTTGTACGTCCTGTTGTTTCCCATGGTGATGGAGGTTCGGTAGACATCATCAGGGGCGGGGTAATTTGCTATATAAGTGTACTTCAGCTTCTTTTTCGTGTCACAGGGGGCAAAGCCAAAGCTCAAGAAGTAGGAAAAGTCTCGGGTCCACAACCTGTACATGCCAGTGTCTTGATCAGGCGAGATGTCGTTGCCGCCGACGTTCACCCGGTAAAGTGTCTGGAGCGCCTTGTCGGTGACGTCGAGGAAACTGGCCCCCAGGCCAATGATAGGAGGGCTTTTATCTCCTGACGGGGTGTAGTAGAGGTCGTCCGGCATGGAGACGATCTCGATTCCATTGACAAACACGTAGGAAGTACTATTACCATGATTTTCGGGAAGAAAAGTTATATCGAGTTTTTCCATATTCTCTCCCACGTATACGCAGAACTCCTTCATGAAAGCCTGCTGTTTCAAGGATTCGGCGCTGAGGTACGCGCTGAAGTTCTTCAGCAGAGTGTAGCGTCCGGCTTTGACAGTAAAGAAGGTCCTTGTGGGATCAAAGTCACCCAGATCGCGATATTGTGTGGGATAAAAGTGTAGCCGGATGAATTTGGGACCCGGGGTAAGGCCGAAGCTGTAGGTGAACTGGGATCGAGACACACGTGCGGTCATGTACGGCACCGCTTCGACGGCGTATTGTGAGCGGGCTTCGAAGATGTTCGATTTGTTTCGTCCGTCTGATTCTATGAGGGAATATCGAGAATCTTTTTCATGATCCGCAATCCAAATACGGTTATCATGTGCAGTTAGCTCCTCCTGTGAGCCACAGTTGAGGGCGATATTCTCTTTGGGTACATAAACAGGTGTGGAATCGGCGATGGTTATGATGATCGCGTCATGGTAGAAAGAGAAGTAGATAAGGGCGAGAATGAGTAGGAGTTTCTTTATGGAAGAAACCATATTTGTAAAGGAAGCTTTTGCCAAGAACACGAGGATATATGAACAATAGAACTTGTATGATCTATATATCCAAGCCAAGGTTTTGGGGGGCTTAACTTTGTAGAGTTATTGAAGATTAAAGCGAGGACGCGATTTGATCATCAGATCACGTGCAAAACACTTCGTATGTTCCTATAGATTTTTTTTTTTCCTATAGATTTTTTTTTTTTTTTAATGCGCCGTGTTCGCATAGATTTTTTAGTGTGAACTCGTGTAATAATTAGGAATTAGTAAATTACTTGTCCATACTACTTTTTTCAATATAAGAAATATAATCAGTGTGGCCTTGTGACCATATAATTTTACACTTGGAAACTTTTTGACTTGTGATGACCAAATGAAGGAAAACATGATAAGACGATAGATTACTTTATTATAATTTCAAACGCGACACACACACACACACACACATATATATATATATATATATATTAAATAGGTATTCTAGTTTTGATTACTTATTTTTTTAGATGGTGGAAATTATGACTTTAATTGAGTGTGAATTATCACTATTCTCAAATAAGTATAACAATACACAGAAACAAACACTATATTCTAGGCGTGAACGTTAGGTGGGTTGGGTTGGGTGGGTTTTTGAGATTTTTCAACCCATCCAATTAAGTTTGGATGGGTTGATTTTAAATTGAACTCATACAATCAATTTAAAGTTTAAAATCAACCCACCCAATTAAATATTGGGTGGATTCGGTGGGTTCAACGGGTTGAATATAATAAAGAAATAAAAAATAAGAAAAAAAATAAAGCTAATCATTCAACCTAAAATAAAAAATGCATAATAAAAACCAATATATGCAAAGCAAGTTCAAATATATAAGTTGTAAACCAATAAAGACACAATAATAAACACTCATACAATGTTAAACATAATCGGTTGTCAAATAAATAATGTAAAATATGAGACAAAAAATATATACTATGAGGTAGGAAAATATTTATTTATATAGATAAATAGATTAGGTGAGTTCGGGTTAATTTAGATTAGGAAAAACTCAACCCAAACCCATCCAATTAATAGTCGAGTTGGGTGGGTTGGGTTGAACTCTTGATCAGGTTGGTCAAGTTCATGTTAAAATGGGTTGGGGTGGATTAATGGGGTTTGTAGGGTTGTCGAGCTTTTTGTTCACCCCTAATATTTTCTAACTCAAAAGTCCTTTTTTTCTTGTGGTATTATTTAAATGAAGGAACTCTCAAATTCCAAAGTATGAGATTACTGACAACATTATATTTTAAGTAGATTCGAAAATATATTGATTTATGATTATGATTGTTGACAGTGAAAATTAGTCAATTGAATAATAACGAATTTCTTAACAAAAAACGTGGGTTAGTCACCCTTGAAATGTAATTAAACGTGAAATAAAAGTAAGAACATTCAAAATTTATAATGGTTCACTCTCGGTTTGAGAGCTACGTCCACTGTGGGGAGAAGGAGAAAAATCACTACTTTGGAGAAAAATACGTGCACTAATGCTCAAGATGAGACTTTGGAGATTTCTGAATCATGATTCCCTATTTATACCACTAGGCCACCACCCTTGCCAATTCTCTTGTTTAAATTTGGGATATTTCTCTTATCTTTTAAGAAAATTTTCCAAAATATAGAGACTACAATTAATCTGAGCGTTTTCCTTATTCGTATTTCATACATTCAAATTATAGATAACGAATCTCTAAGTAAATAATGTGGATCCTTATATCCGCGTAGCCTCAACTTTGTTAAAGCTACTCGAGATCTCTTCGCTTATATTTGAGAGAACGATCAACTCCATGTTCATTCCTAATGTTTCTCGTAACGGTCTACTTCCTAAAAGAGTGGTTGCTGACGTGGCTATTAGGGATGAGTTGTCCTTAATCATTTAATGAGCTTCCCTATGATCGGTGGGCCCTGTCATGATCTATTTTTAATGTATTGTTTCACCCTACAACAATGATCATATAATATTGCACATAACTCTTGTAGGTAATAAATAATTAAATAATAAATACAAAGAAAGAGAGAAGACAAAGAGCGATTTAACGTGGTTCGACTATATTCCTATAACTAAAGACTAAGAAAAGAAGGAGAATTTACTAGTAAGGAGCACTATAAAGGAGACTCTATATAAATAGACATTACAAGTATAAAATTAGGTAAGTAACCCAAAACTAAAATATTGAAATTTCTTAATATAAATAAAGTCAAAACCAATAGCAAGAGGTAACAATATATAAAATATTACTTTCCCTAATAGTGGGTACTTTAATCCATTGGTTCTTCTTATATTTGGTACCCTTTATTATAGCGAAACATCTCCCTGATACTCTGTGTTTTTAATATTAAAATAGTAACTTCACCTTTAAAGAAAGATTTTTTTAGTACCCTAAGACTAATTTTCAGTACATATAATGTTAAACTACTACTTTTATCAATTAAATAGAAACCAATAACTTTAAAAAAAAATTTAAAACATTTTAATTTATTTTGATTCTTTAATTTTTAAATATATTAAATTATTTTCATATATATTTTTTAAAATTACTAATTTATTGTTAATTAGTGAGAAAGGTAAAATGTAAATTGTCTTAAAAATCAGTTTTTTAAGTGTTAAAAGAACATTTCTTTACAAATGAAGTTATGATTTTAATATTATTAAAAACAGAATTTGTTGTTATTATTAAAAACAGAATACCAACAAAATATTTCGCTATATGAACATAGGGTACCGCGATAATTTTATCCATTCTAAAAAGCATCATAACCATCTTTTAAGATTAAAAAAAAAAAGTTGTAAATGATGAATGGGGAGACAATCAACATATTAGCTTATTAACGCATGTTCTAATAATTAAATTGATGCCTTTTAATAAACTCACCAAGTCCTACATAAAATTTATTGAAAAGGCAAAGAAAAAAGTTATATATAAAAAAGAATTCAACTCCATGTTCATTCCTAATGTTTCTCGTAACGGTCTACTTCCTAAAAGAGTGGTTGCTGACGTGGCTATTAGGGATGAGTTGTCCTTAATCATTTAATGAGCTTCCCTATGATCGGTGGGCCCTGTCATGATCTATTTTTAATGTATTGTTTCACCCTACAACAATGATCATATAATATTGCACATAACTCTTGTAGGTAATAAATAATTAAATAATAAATACAAAGAAAGAGAGAAGACAAAGAGCGATTTAACGTGGTTCGACTATATTCCTATAACTAAAGACTAAGAAAAGAAGGAGAATTTACTAGTAAGGAGCACTATAAAGGAGACTCTATATAAATAGACATTACAAGTATAAAATTAGGTAAGTAACCCAAAACTAAAATATTGAAATTTCTTAATATAAATAAAGTCAAAACCAATAGCAAGAGGTAACAATATATAAAATATTACTTTCCCTAATAGTGGGTACTTTAATCCATTGGTTCTTCTTATATTTGGTACCCTTTATTATAGCGAAACATCTCCCTGATACTCTGTGTTTTTAATATTAAAATAGTAACTTCACCTTTAAAGAAAGATTTTTTTAGTACCCTAAGACTAATTTTCAGTACATATAATGTTAAACTACTACTTTTATCAATTAAATAGAAACCAATAACTTTAAAAAAAAATTTAAAACATTTTAATTTATTTTGATTCTTTAATTTTTAAATATATTAAATTATTTTCATATATATTTTTTAAAATTACTAATTTATTGTTAATTAGTGAGAAAGGTAAAATGTAAATTGTCTTAAAAATCAGTTTTTTAAGTGTTAAAAGAACATTTCTTTACAAATGAAGTTATGATTTTAATATTATTAAAAACAGAATTTGTTGTTATTATTAAAAACAGAATACCAACAAAATATTTCGCTATATGAACATAGGGTACCGCGATAATTTTATCCATTCTAAAAAGCATCATAACCATCTTTTAAGATTAAAAAAAAAAAGTTGTAAATGATGAATGGGGAGACAATCAACATATTAGCTTATTAACGCATGTTCTAATAATTAAATTGATGCCTTTTAATAAACTCACCAAGTCCTACATAAAATTTATTGAAAAGGCAAAGAAAAAAGTTATATATAAAAAAGAATAAAAAAAGTAACTCATATGGCGGGTCTTGTATTAGTGATCTGAAGCATTTTTCACGATATTACGTACTTCCAAAACAAAGTAACAATACGCCAATATTCAATGGAGGTGTTTATAAATATATATTTTTTCTTCCGTCTAGATGAAGATATGGTTGTCAATTCGGGATCACTTTTATAAAAGTAACACTGGGTAAGAATTCCCCGATTAAAGCTAAAGTAGCACTTATATTTGGCCCACATGCAAGAAAGTCTGTGTTTCATATACTATTCCCTTTCTTTGTTGAAGAAACGAACAAACATGCATGCACTTTTTTTTTCTTGCTAAGAACGTGTTATGTACTTTTTTTTTTTGCTTGTGGAGAACCCGTGTGTATATATATATATACACACACACACACACTTAAACCTACAGTACCTATCAGAATCCACTTCACTGTTTTCCAATGCTATTTGCCTGGATTACTCATATGCCTACTGACCACTCCCACTGCATATGTAATGTCCAGTCTAATGCATATCGTAGCGTACATGAGACTGCCTATAGCGGAGGCACAAGGCACCTTAGCTATATAGACTCGGTCTTGCTCCGAAGTCAGTGATTGTTCCTTCAACAACTTGAAATGACTAGCCAAAGGAGTACTCATCGATTTTGCATCCTCCATGTTGAACCTCTTCAACACCTTCTTCACATATTCCTCTTGTGACAGTTTTAGGACATTAGTATCCCCTGTAATTCTCATCCCAAGGATTTGTTTTGCAACACCCCAATCCTTGATAGCAAATTGCTTTGACAATTCTTTTTTCAACCTGTTGATCTCTTGTTTGCTCACAGTGGCTATCAATATATCATCTACATAGAGCAATAAGATGATATACGAGCTACTAAAATTCTTCGCGTATCAACGGTGATCTACAAGGCATCTTAAGAACCCACTACTACTCATGAAACTGTAAAAATTCTTATACCACTGA